ATTCGAAGTTCATAAACTGATGAAATTAGTCGATGACCTTTATGGGATCACGAATGTAGGTGTCGAAGTTTTGTGGATCTTGGCCTGGTATTTATTGGTCCTAGCGAGCAGACAATTCATAACTTAAGTTTACACATGCGATAGCAGCATTAATGATGGCTTTATTGGGATTGTTTATTTTTTGAGGCTTCTTGTGTAGTCGTTCGTAGCTTCTGTCGGTGTGTTTTTACGGCAGTGCGAAGCGGGACGGTAATGGACACGATGAGAAATAAATACGCTTGTAATTTTCGCGATAAGCATTTTTGTGGAAAGGCAAAAGATATTTTGTCTGCAGTTTTGGCCGGCAACACATAGGATTGCATGGCAAATGTATATATATAGCTATCTGCGCTTTTAGATATGTCCGATCAATATACGAAGCTCGGTGTCGCCAGTTCTCTAGCCGTATGTTTTCGTAACGTACTGCGGATGCCGCTGTTGACGCGTCGTGGTAGCAGCTTGCCCATTCTTTGACGATACGATTCGCTCATTTGACAGCGGGAACCCCGCTGTGAAGTAGCCGAAGAGCGAAGTTTCTCTGTTATCCATTTAGTGTCTTGTCGTCTCAACCAGTTCCCTGCTCTCCATGTTTAGATACAGAAAGGCGATGACGACAATGTTTCTCATGACGATCACAGACCTAACTACGCTATGGTTGGTCCAACGATCTCGGCTGATCGGCCGTCGGTCGTTGCTTCGTAGTTTCTGCCCTCCTTGTACACTGTACGTTTTTCCGCCGTAGTTTACTTCATCTACTGTCTGTTCGGATCTCCTGGCTGCTAGCTTTGTGTTTGTTTCACCGCTGGGTCCATTGGCTGGAGGATCAGACGGTTCAGGAGTAAAACGAAAAGCATTGTCTTCTATATATACAATTAACATTCGCAAAATATTAGACCTAATATGTCCGATATGATACTTGATTAAATCTACCGGTGGACTGGTCGGCTTATTAGGGCGCAAACAGTTCGTGTACGCTACAATGCCCCTGATCGACGTAGTAGCGTCATATTATTATAGTAGAATTCTTGGTGGCCGCAGCTATAGCCTCAACAAAGGAGACTTTTGCTGTTTAATGTTGACTTTTGACTGCCCCGTCGGCCTCCCGGTGTTGGCACGCCGAGGGGACACACGCTCTCTCTCACTCAGATGTATTACAACGACAGGAGCGAATGCTCAAACGAAGGTGACACACCAAAGCGCACCGGAGATGCGCACTTATTCTCTGAGCGCAGCCTCCCTAGCGCCACACAACGCTACACCACCATCGGGATGAGAAGCCATCGCGCCATTATACCAAATTCTAAGCAGCTGGGGTAGCAGCCGCTGCCACAGCAACGGCTGAGGAACATTGTGCAGCAGCCGTAAGATCAGCGGCGTTGTCTGGCTGGATGGCTGGTCGCTTGGCTTTGTCCGCGGCTCTGGGCGCAAAACGGGTGAGCACGCCGCAACTAACAGCCAACGCGCGTCCACCACGCCAGATCGAGCGGTCGATCATACGGCAATGAACATCAACAGCGGCGAAGCAGGCAGCAACGTTACGGAATTGAATCGAGCGAAGACTCGACAAGCTGCGACCAGGCGGCGAGATAAAGCCGACGGATGCAAGCGAGACAACGCAATGCGCTATTTTTGACATGGCTCTCTTGCCTCTGTCGTTTAGGAGCGCCGTAGCGACTACGTAAAAGAACGAGGGCAATAGACCGAACAAGATACTGGATGGGGTGAGCGGCTCGTAAGAGATTTGAACAGTTGGCCTTTCTATGCGTATGTCGGGCTGCCGTTTCGACCCGTAGTAAGATGTCCGCCAGACCCGATCGGATCTGCAGGGCGTCTACAACAGCGAACAGCCTCGGACCAACGTCAGACGAGCTAGTAGAGGCGACGTAGCAGCCAGTGGAGAGTTAAGGGAGAAGCGGCGCCTCAACGGTCGCTGCTAAGCGCTGCTTCGTTGAATAGAAACAACGACATTGATGGCTGTGGCGTCAGCGTTAGCCGCCGCGTCAACGCCAGTAACAACAGCAGGCGCCAGAGCAGAACCGCATATGCTGGTCACAGTCATAGGCACCATGGCCAAAGCAGCGTTAAGAAGCGAATCGCAAATTTCCTTTGGATAGGATGAAGGGACCTTGTTGACCCTGCTATTGCCCTCGTTATTGGGCAGTTTGCTCACGTAGCTGTATCAGTCGTTGTTGCGGAGCGAACTGTGGCCACGTGAGTGTAGTGTGACCACGCATTGTCGTCGCTATTCTTCGTGAGTCCCTTCGAGTAGAGAAATTACGCTTTGTAAGGCTCTCGTGATCGAAGCCTGCCGCTGCCGCCGCCGCTGTCGATGCGGCGTTTGCTGTGATGATGATCGCTGCTCCCGTTCTATCATTACGCTGGCCTCTCGTAGCCCGATTCTCCTATCGAAATGAATAATAGTTTCAGTGTTACTGCGGGAAACCCGGAACAGGAGTTGTCGACCTGCAGGCGCCGCACAATGCGCCCCGGACACGAGAAGAGACGCTAAGAAACAAATTTTCGGCAGTAATAGAGAAATAATAGAGAAAACTATACCAACGAAATACATGGGGCGGGAGCTTTTCACGTCTTCATTTTGCCTGTATAATATATTCAAAACACTGATGATATTCCCATTTATGCATATTATCTTCTATTATGCATCAGATGAGCTTACGTATAAACATCTATATGTAACATGCTTATGTAAATATGCCCAGACAGTCAGCGCAATGAACACAGGAAATCCAAATGCATCTGAAGTGGGTTTATCTAGAACCGAGACAATTTGCAGTGCGTTGAAAACTGAGTTGCTTGAAGGAGTCCTGCTAGCTGGCCAATGGAATCAAAAAAAGTGGGGAAGACAACTACTAATGGTAAAAAAATGCTATAAATATTAAAGTACTTTGCACCATTCCAAATTGACGTTATATGAAAAGTGCAGTCGTTACTGGAAGCCTACACCGACAGCTGGACGAAAGAGACGCAGATCTCTCTTCAGAAACCCAAAAATATAGCTAATATTATTAAAATTGTTCACTCACAAAACAATTCAACTTGAATTACTTGTAATTATCCTCGACCATTTAACTGAAACTATTCATATGATAAACATCTGTAAAGAACGTATAAACGTCTCTATAAATAAAATTATTAACAAAAGATATACACAAACATCTATTTATGCCGGTAAGTCGTTATAAAATCATAATTCAAAACTATATGCACAAATATGCGTCTTTTCACAAAGTGCGGTAATATTTAAAAAAAAAAAACTTAATTGAACATCGCTTATAATGGCGTTCCTTCCGGTGTGCGTAAATCGCCTACCTCGACGAACTTCTGCAAGAAACATCTTTCAGACTCAATCAAATATACGACAGAGCATTTGACCCCTTGGCCTAATGCTCACTGTTCAGATATCCTAGACCTAAACTATAAACCTCAATTAAGTTCAAATGGTCAAATCAATCATCGATCGTTACCTCATTGAACGAGTCTCTGGGCGTTTCCAAAGCCCAACACGACAGTTAACATTCGACAACCAAATCGAGCCCCCATGTCACTTCTCTAGCTTACTTATCCGCCATTAGCTCCACCATCACTATCTGGAGTCTTCAGCTCCCCATTCGAGTGCCGCTGCTCTAGATCTTCGTTGTCGTCATTGTTCGCATAATAACACCGAAGTAATCAATAGCAATGGGAACCATTGCCAGCCACAGATGGCAAATGGCACTAAGATCATGGGACTTGGACTGAAATAGGGACATCCGAAGCAGCTTGATTTTGCAAGAGAGAAGAGGGCCGAGGAAACTTGACATGCGCGGGTTGGTTGTCAATCAAAACTCGACAACACTAACGGCGGAGTGACGCCTTCAGAAATCGAATCGGGTACTCAATGAATTTGCTTGAAGGCGGTGCTTGACCTCGTTGTCCTAGTTGTCATGCGCCTACTAGTGTTTGCAAGATACAGAGACGAACAGGGGGGCATGTGAAACGAAATGTTCAATGAACGAGCCAACCTACAGAAAGTATTTGCTCACTAACGTATTAAATACAATTACATAAGATATCGTACATTATAGGGAAAATTTGTCCAACTACCTAAAGTGATATAGTCGAGACGGACGGTAGTAGAAAGGAGACTAACACCTAACCTTCGTAACAAGGACATTGCGATTCGGGCATAAGTTTTAGTGGACTAAGATCTATAATCGCATGTACCACCTAGTAGCATTACAGAAAAACATAGTTTCCGAGCCCTGAAATTGGTGCTAACCAGAAAAGCACGCTTTTTGAATTTCTCACGGAGAGCGTCTTTCGCCCGATTCACTAACCGACATTTCGTTAAAGTGCGTCTCCGTACTACTGGTATGCTTCCAGTAGTACGCCGACATGCTAGAAACTCCTTCAACCGAACTTAGTCCTAGAAGAGAACTCCTCGGTTAGCCTTTTCGGCGGCCAATATTCGAACCGTAGATGTGCTAAATCCTTTGTAAGGATAGCTGTCTGTGTACCCATCGTAGTGTCCTGTTCCTCGTGATATCCTTCGACTCAACTGAATGGCCTTCTAGTTGACAAAATCGAGGCGGTGACATCCACGTGCTCGTAAATGAAAAAAAAAAACTATTTCGGTATCGCTTCATAGTAAATCGACAAACATCGGCAAGGGGGTACAGCAACAGTAAAAACAACCAAGTCAAGTTGCTTCGCACGAAGAACCGACAAGTAGCACTAATGGTATCTGCGGCGCTTCTAATGAAACCTAAATAGCCGTTTATTTAATTATTTACAACCTCTGACATTGGCATTAACGAATCGAGCTAAACATATTCAACAAAGGTCGATAGCTGAACTCATCAAAAACCACCGATTCCGGTTAGCGCTTTCTCTCCTAACAGTTGTTCTCGTTTTATTTTTTTGTTTCCGGCGCCATTTGTTGTTTTTCGTGGCGATTTTAGGCGACGCTTCGATCGGCAGCGGCGACGGAACAGGCGAGGAGGACGAGGAGGACAGGAGCGGCGGCGGCAAGCGACGCCAAAAGAAAAGAGGTATCTTCCCCAAGGTGGCCACCAACATCATGCGTGCTTGGCTCTTCCAGCATCTCACCGTACGTCCTACCTCATATTAAGGCTAATTTCTCTTTCTCTCCCCCCCTCTCTCAATCTCTCATATATATATATATATGACTGAATATATGTGCATATTATTTACCTTCATTATAGTGTGCTGTTAGACTGCGCCCTATATGGCTACACGGCCGTTGTGGGAGGTAATAAATGATCTCAGCGTTTCTTAGCTATAACAGTTGCTAGACATGGTTACATCTTGGTCTTCAAGAAGTACGTCGTATGTATTATGAAGCGCAAGTCAAAATCCGTATATATTTATACCTTATTGGTTGGTGAGGTAGAAATGTGATTGATAAAAGGATATGTGAATTAGCTAAGCCAAGTAGGCCTGATTATATCTGATTGCATTTTTGTTTCGTTTTGATTTTCAGCACCCCTACCCCAGTGAGGACCAGAAGAAACAACTGGCCCAGGATACCGGCCTGACCATCCTGCAGGTCAACAACTGGTTAGTAGTCATTGTACAGAACGCATCCTAGTATCCCGTCTTATAGCACTCTCCTATTGCTTATGGACAAAGGAAAGCAGACTCGTCAAATGTTCTTATTTCACTTGCCGTATCCTGCAAAGCGAGCGACGTTCAGGAGTTCACAATGATTTTCCTTTTTTTGGAAGCTCTCTGTGTTTTATCATAGGCAAACTGCAATATACACATACGTTTATCATTGTCCTTTTCTCAGGAAAATCAAACGAGGATCTGGCATTTGTCTTTTACCTTAAGATTAGTTCGTATCTATCACTGACTACATATTAGCCTTCTGCGTAACTCTAGCATACTAGCAATAATAAATATCGTATTAGTATTATTAGTATATATCCGCTTAACCTAATTCGTTCAACGCAGTAAGGCTCCAAAGCTGGTCTAAGTACTTAGCCGTTGCCACTGTTCATGATTCAGACGATCTGAATAGCATGTGCGTTTGATAGTATTGCCAAGAAAAGAAGCTAAGCAACGATATTGTAGTCTGATAAGCTCAGAGGCGTCAATTACTGCTAAACCAATCTATACGACACCAGCTGGCCGACAACTCTGTTCTTGTCCTATCTTTTTTCTGATTTCGTTGTATTTTCGAAATACGTTTTGGATGCCGAGCGCATTCGAACGTTGCCGGTGGATGCTCCATGGTCGTCCAACGCCACCCTCATAGTCAACCCCTGACGCTAGCCGTTGATATGGAAACCAAAAAAATTGCCCTTGCATGTACACGCACCCATAAGCTTATAGCCTGGAAGTGACAATGCACAAAAAACGAACCGCTATGTTGGGCTACAAGGGAAGCGCTCCGTACGAGACGGGCGCTTACTCTTCCTCCACAGATTTTTCTCGAATCGCTCGCACTTAATGAGACCAGATGTTCATTCAGGGCTAGTTCGAGCATGCAGGTGGAGGCGGCAACAGCATTCGACTGTGGCTACTAACCTGACAAGGTAGCACTGCCAAGAGGATTTAGCTGGTAAGGCAAAGCAACGCCGAAAAGCGAAAAGCCTCTGAAGGGGAAGGGACTGAAAATGGAACTAAGCTATATACTATAGCTTGCTTTGGGGCGTAAGCTCGTAGAAAAAGCTGGGCGACATTTTTGATACACTTCGAAGATATCGGGTAGGAGTCGAAGTGGCTGGGGGTGGACTAGATGAGACAACAGCTTATTTTGACTAAACTTTCTATGTCCTATGGTTCAGCTGGTGAGCAGCGTAGTCGCAGCGTTGTTAGAAGAAGGAAGGGATCGTCGGAGCGTTTCAAGGCGCTGCAGATGTTTGGTCGAGGGCAGCGGCAAATAATGGCCGAAGCGATGGAGCCAGCAGTCATACACATCTGTGACCACTAACTCGGGAATTCAGAGGGTGGTCCAAGAAACATTACACAGAACGTCCCTTATAGAATCAGAGAATCAAGGAGAACGAGGAGATATTACAGTGTTCCGATGCGGACGCTGCTTGGTCGTCACTAGCCGCGCGATCGCTAGCCGAGATACGACAGCAACACCAGCGGATGGTTCCTGCTGGGAGGCAGTGGCTGACTTTTGACAACAGAGCGAACGTAAATGGGATAGGCGGTATATTTGTGCGGTTCTTCATGCTGTACTAGCTATTCAGACTGGTAGCGTTTTCGTTTCTACAAAAGGGCGCCACTGCCGAACTGCTTACTGGTATCCGCATACTGCGCTATGGAGGGTTGTATCTCGCACATCTACCCCCGGGAGAGGGAAACGGTGTCATTCGGACGCAGCAGTTGCTGCCCGTTGAATTCATACATTTGACAGGTTGACAACGTAATACGGGCTGGATGCAACAAGGTTACCGTTTGTCGGCCGTGTTTACGCAATTTATAGCTGCACCCAGAGAGCAGCCCCATGCTTTCCGTGAGTAGTTCATGTTGACTGCCACGATCGCTGTTGTTTTCAATATTTGACGTTCACTTGCAGTTGCCTCGTCGGTAGATTTTGCCAGACTCGAGGCACATTTGTTCGAACTACTGTCGAATGTGGGAGCTGTCAAAAGCGTTGCTATGCTTTAGAAAGCACATGCGCGCTAGAATGACGGGCTGAAATTGGACGAATAAACCCGTTACACAGCCATAACGGATCACGAACGGCTGTGCTTGATATGTCCTGTTGTTACACTCGGGATTTTCGCTCGCTCCATTCATTTTTGACTGGTGATATTTTTGTCAATACAGATCAATAAAATATATATTTATATAAATCAATTATCTTACAATGAAGTAGACTTCATTTAATGCCGTTCTCAAGATAATGGATAATGTTTACCGGTACTTAGTAGTATCCTAGCTGCTAGCCGCTGCAAACTGCGTGTCAAGTTGTGAGTTCGTTTTTCGGCCATACTCGAAGTTCGAATAGGTGCATTTTATCAACTACTCAACTACTACATTGCATCCATTTCAAAACCCATCGATGAATGGCATCGGAGTACGTGGAATGAGACCTGGGGCCATATCGAGCCTGAATCTCCATCTACTATTAGACTTTCCCCAGTGATATCCACTTACTTGGCAATAATCACATTTCAACCATTAGCATTACCGTGGATGTCACTCGGCCATTTGAGCAGGCGTATCTAGAGCCCAGGTTAGGGGCGCTCGTACCGCTATAGACCATCGTGGGACGGGGTTTAAGCAAGTGTACTCGCCCATAGATTCGTCATCTCGTTTCAGCTATACATACAAATCTTTCTACCTGTATGCTATTGTACGAAGTGGCTGCTGTAGCACTCGTGCCGCGGGCAACGGAGCTCTCTGTTTCGGCCTTTCGAGCCTGCCCTTGTTAGTGTCTCCGAGCGATTCACGGACGTCGTAGCGATGATATCACGCTGCAGCTAGACTGACATCTACACCAACAGCAGCAACTTCCAAATCAAGTTAGCAAATAACAGAGTCAACTTGAAGACGTTCTGGAGTCGCCACCCAGATTTTTCTCGGAGCTAACATACAGCAGAAAAGAATTCAAGCGACCAGTGTTGTAATATCGCTATAGTTAGACGTTTAAAGTTCATCGTCGTTATTGGTGATGCGTCAGCCTTTATTTTCCTATGCCTGCTTCTCAGTGAACTCTACGGTGGTACGCTGCATATTTCGGAGGACAGCTCGCACGGGTCATTGTGCCAATTTTACCTTGTTGCGAACAACGGGATGCGCGAATCACGAGTTCGCCCAAAGCCGAGACCGAGAAACGTACAGCCACTGCCTGTGTGGCTTTCACAATCCAACGAAATTTGAAGTGGCAGTGGCACTCGTAGCGGTGACTTTGCTATGTCGGAGCGTATTGAGCGTTGTCTACCCAGCGCAATCTCAATAGACGTGTAAGCCCGTATCAAAATAGGGTGCGTATATAGGCGCGGAATCCAATCATATCTCTTGAATACATTACGACACGGCAGCAGCGTCAGCCGCGCGCATTATACTGGCTAATGTCATTGAGTGCATACTTCAGCCTCTAGCACTGGAGTCCACTAAAGATCTTCTCGGGCTGGCTGGCTGACTGCCCCTGAGCGGTGAAGCGTTCCGTTCCTACATCGCTAGGTGCGGTGAAGACCGAGCGAAAATGGTCTCTTCGGCTTCGTTTCTTCCTATTTTTTTTTTAGAGAAGAATGAGACTATATATCGGGAGGGCGAGGGAACAGAGGATGGGATGCGAATGGAAGAAGGCTGAGTGAATGATCTAGTGAGAGTGCCTCACTAGAGAGGAGCGCGTCCTAAGAACTATAGGTAGGAGGTGCGTACAGCTGCGTAGAGCTCTGGTAGCATAGCGGACGCGTTCAAAGTCTCCAGCATTCCGCTGTGTAAGCCTGCCCCAGTGGTCGGCTACCGCCTGCCTGTGTTTACTTGTAGGATTCTGGGGTGAAAAAGAAAGCTAAAGCTTCGTGTGCGTCGGAGGGCTAAGTCGACTGTGCTTTGGATACAAGAGGTAATCGTTAGCGAGGAGCTGTGAAAGCAGTGGCGGCAAACGTATCTGAGACCAACGGTTAGTGCGGTGTAAGGATCGGACAACTTGGGAGTGACTGACTGTAAATAACCATAGCGGTAGTACTAGTAGTAACAGCGGTGGCCAGCTGGGCAACGCTGGAAGCAAAAGTCACTTCAGAGATCTCATTATAGCTGCCCTACGCCGCTAGACAGCGCTGTTGTCGTTTTGAGCTTTTCAGGTTTGAAGGGAAAGTCATCTAAAGAAGTAAAGTAGGTGCTCTTACAGGCGCCTAGAACTGGCGGACTATAGGACATCTTGCTTACGAAACTAGTGAGAAGAACAAGTAAGTACGCTACAGCGGGTGCACGAACAGTACCGCTAACGAGGTGCGAGTGAAGATCAGGTGGTAGCATTCACTGAGCAGGACGAAATCCGGTTAACAGCGCTGTTGCAGCTGTGTTTGGACATCGGGACGGAGTGTGGGCGCCTAAAATCTTGAGTCTAAACTGGTCTAAAAGAGAAAAACGATGACCAGGTCGCAAAACGAACCACTTTCTAATAAATACGTGTTAAGAGGCAGGAAGGTAGATTTGTTGCGTGTAGACGAAAAGGAACAGCCAGCCCAATGGACGCTTTCGAACATCGTTCGTATTGTATTATTGACTGAGGTTTATTTAAGAGATGGTTAATGATACCGTCCTTTGCATCTCTTGCGAAGTATAGTGAGATTTGTGCAATTATCGCGCCATGTATTAGCTTCTACAGAAAAACCGATCCCTGGATATCGATTTAATCATGCATGACGCGCGTAAGCCAGTAGTGACTTGATAAAGCCAGTTAGTTATATCTTATTCTGCTAAGCACTAACAAGATAAAGTTACGCCAATATTGGCCTTTATAGCTGTACATGTTTTACATTAGACTGGGTGGAAACGAGCTGGGCTAGATAGATTTCAATGAGTATGCCACTAAGTAAGGTTTTTGCTGGAAACAAACAATTAAGCCTCATAGCGGTTGCTTTGGTCTG